CAAAACAAGTCTTAACAAATTTTAAAAGATAATATGAAGTATCTTTTCTGACCACAGCATTATAAAACTAGAAATCAGGCCAGGTACAGTGGCTGACGCCTCTAATCCCAGCACTTTGTGAAGCCAAGGTGGGCAGGTTGCTTGAGCCCAGGAGTTTGAGACCAGCATGGGCAACATAATGAAAGCCATCTCTACTAAAAACACACAAAAAAACCATTCACCCAGGCACAGTGGCACATGCCTGTAGTCTCAGCTACTTGGGAGGCCGAGGTGAAAGGATTACTTGAGCCCAGGAGGCAGAGTTTACAGTGAGCCATGATCACGCCTCCACACTTGAGCCTGGGACACAAAGCAAGATCTTGTCTCAAAGAAAAACAAAAGAAAAATAACTAGAAATCAACAAGAAAAACTGACGACTTCACAAATCACAGAAACAAACAACATGCTTCTAACAACCAATTTATGCACCTACAACAGCCAACTGGTTTTTTAAGATGTCAAGAACATACATTGGGAAAAAAGACAGTCTCTTCAACAAGTGGTAGTAGGAAAACTGGATACTCACATGTAGAAAAATGAAATTAGACCCCTCCCTCTCACCATATACAAAAATCAACTCAAAATAAAGATTTAAAATGTAAAACTTCAAACTATGTAATTACTAGAAGAAAACAAAAGGGAAATTATTCAACACTGAGCTGAGAAAGGATTTTAAAAATAAGACCCCAAAAGCACAGACAAAATAAATAAGATTACATCAAACTAAAAACGTTTGCACCTTAAAGAAAACTATTAACAGAGTGAAAACAGCTACAGAATGGAAGAAAATATTTGCAATCTATACATGTGACAAAGGGATAAAATCCAAAATATAAAAGAAACAACGCAACAGCAAAAATAACCTTTTTTTTAAAAAAAAAAAAAAAAAGAAAAAGGATGGGGTTTCACCATGATGGCCAGGCTGGCCTTGAACACCTGACCTCAGGTGATCCATCCACCCTGGCCTCCCAAAGTGCTAGGATTACAGGTGTGAGCCACCGCGCCCTGCAACTTGATTTTTTAAATGGGAAAAAGACCTTAATTGACACGTCTCAAAAGAAAACATACAAATGACCAACAGGTACATTTAAAAAAATGCTTAACATCACTAATCTTCAGGGAAATGCAAATCAAAACCACAATGAGATACACCTCACTCCAGTTAAAATGGCTATTGCCAAAATGACAAAAGAAAATAAGTATTGACACAGATATGGAGAAAAGGGAGCACTCACACATTGTTGGTATGATTGTAAACTAGTACAGTCATTATGGAAAACAGCATGGAAGTTCCTAAACAATTAAAAATAGAATTTCATATGATCCAGCAATCCCACTACTGGGTATGTATCCAAAGGAAATAAAATCAGTATGTTGAAGAAATCTGCACTCCCATGTTTATTTCAGCACTACTCACAATGGGCAACCTAAGCAGACAATGGATGAATAAAGAAAATGTGATATATAAACATAATGGAATAATAGCCATAAAAAAAAATAAACTCCTGTGAATTGTGAATGGATAAACCTGTAGGACATCGTGTCAAATGAAATTAACCAGACACAGAAAGACAAATACCACATGATGTAACTCACATGCAGAATATTTTTCTATTATAAAAAAGTTGATATAGATAAGGCAGAGATTAGAATACTGGTTACCAGAGACTGGGAAGAGCAGGGGAGAAGGAAGGATGGAGAGAGGTTAATCACCAGATACCAAGGTATAATTAGATAGGAAGAATAAATTCTGGTGTTTTGTTGCATAGCAGGGTGACTATGGTTAGCAGTAAGACATTCCATATTACAAAATAACTAGAAGAGAGGCTTTTGAATGTTTTAACCCACAAGGAAATGAATATGTGAGTGAAGGATACACTATTCTGACTGGATAATTGTACAACATAAATATCAAAACAGCAAATAGTATTTCATAAATATGTGCAATTACAATGTGTCAATTAAATTTTTTTAAACAATTAAAAAGTTATTAGACCAGCTGTTGGATCTGGTTGAGCTAATGTGCTTAAGAAGCACATGTATAACATTCTATCACACATTTGATTTCAACTTTTTTTGACTTAAAAAAAAAAAAATCCCCATAAAGTGCTGATACTTTTGTGCCTCCCAACTTGACTTACAGCCTGTTTTTGAAAGCCTCACTTCTACAGGGAAGGGTAACACATCCATTATTCCAAGTCACCCCTGAACCCAATAAAATGAACTACAATTACTATGGTTATGCTCATTTACCCTGCCAACAAGACCATCAATTTGTCCCAATTTTGGCAGTCATAGCCTTCATAAAATACATTAATGTCTTTGCTCATTACTCAAGATGGAAAATTAGAAAAAGATCACATGGTATTTTATTTCATCAGTGAAAATAATTAAGGCACTATGAGGTTTAAAAACTAAGCAGCCTTGGTGGGGCATGGTGGCTCATGCCTCCCAGTACTTTGGGAAGCCGAGGCGGGTGGATCATGAGGTCAAGAGATCAAGTCCATCCAGGCAACATGAAGCCCCGCCTCTACTAAAAATACAAAAATTAGCTGGGCATGGTGGCACGTGCCTGTAGTTCCAGCTACTTGGGAGGCTGAGGCAGAGGTTGCAGTGAGCAGAGATTGCGCCATTGCACTCCAGCCCGGCAACAGAGCGAGACACTGTCTCAAAAAAAAAAAAAAAAATGCTCCCAGCTAAGCAGTTTTGAAAACGTATGTATGTTCTAATAATGTCCAGTGACCTCCCCTACCCACCCTCATCTTTTTCTGAGACAGCCAGACATGGACATGCCCTCCCCCGACCACATCCTACCATATCGTGTCCTCCCAAGTACAGTAACTTTGATGTAGCTCCTCTTCCATTTCATCTTTTACCACTCACATCTATGTTTATTCAACAGAAAGTATTTCTCACATTTAAATATGTCATCTCTTAATATCTTCCTATTTCCAAGTGTTTCTTTTTTGTTTTTTGTTTTTGAGATGGAGTTTTGCTCTTGTTGCCAGGCCTGGAGTGCAATGGCATGAACTCCGCTCACTGTAACCTCCGCCTCCTGGGTTCAAGCAATTCATCTGCCTCAGCCTCCCAAGTAGCTAGGATTACAGGCACAAGCCACCACGCTTGGCTATATTTTATCTAAATAAAACATTTCTTGGTTTCTTCTATAAATAGAAGTATTTACTAAGGCGCTAGGCTTCTGTGCCTTCAATTTTAGAGGCCCAAAGTGGTTTGAATACCAGGTATTAATTACAAAAAAAAAAAAAGAAGTACACCTGTACCTCTTTAGTAACAGTAAAGGAAAAGAATAGTAAAGGAAAGAAAAGGTACACCTGTATGTCTTTTTTTGTAATTAATAATAAAGGAAAAGAAAACCAAATGGTTTTAGGGCATAATTAAACAAAGAATCAGTACTTACGAACCATTAAAGTTACAAATCTGTCAAGATGTATTTTAGAACTCTACTGCCAGGAGTGCTAATTAAAGCTATTTTTCTCAAGCACCACTCAATATGAAAGTGTTTTTCTCATGTCATTTTTTTTTTTGTACACAGATACTGCAACATTGGTTTGTATGACCTCTCATTGCACAATGTCTCATTTTAATTCTATAGTATTTCAGCAGCATTGTAGGTTAAATTGGATCTTTGGGCTAATCCAAACTGTGATTATAAACTTCTATATTGCATAACTCGAATTGCCTGAAAGACAAATCATTCTGTACTATATTCCCAGCTTTTAATTTAAAACATTCAAGAAAATACTTCATCTTGGTTTTTAAAACACCTGAAAACATTTTTATTAAGGTCAAACACCATTTTCATGAAGTGAGCAAGCATGGCACACACAGCACAGGCAGAATTCACAATCGCAGCCGGTGCTGGGGCCCTGATAGTTGGTTTCATAGACTTTTGAGGAAGAAACTTTAAGACAGTGACTCTTTCTATTCTGTAACATAAATAGCACCATGTGTCTCGTTTTCTAACAGGAACTTTTTTTAAAATTTCATAAATTTGTATTCAGCTAAAAGAGGTTGAATACAAAATTCCAAGGTTTCCCAAGTCATCTCGCAAGTAGATAACCTTGATATAGTAGTTCCTCACATCTAAGCTCACCACTCACATCCAAGTTAATTCAACAATGGGGACTATTTCTGGAGTTTAGACTTGAAAATAAGACTATATTGTAAGATGGTCTTTATAAGATAACTGTAAATCTATAAGACTATTTGACTAAGACGTGAAAATAGATTCGAAGTATTTGTTATAAACTACAGCATTATAACTTTAGGTAACTAAAATTTTAAGTCAATAAAAGGCAAATGTACTCAAACCGCTTGATGTAGCTAACCATCGCAAAACTGTGATCCAATATTCTAGGGTCAATATCAAAAATCAAAAGTTTCGAGACTGAGCCTGAAGAAGTCTTGATTCTAGACAACAGCAAGAAAGGTGAGGGTAGAAAAAAATACAGAATCACTCCCAACGCTCTGGGGTTACATTTTCAAGTCAGCAAAATGAGTGTTGTATTCAGAACTCGTGTGTAGGCGTATCTGTAAAATGTTTAAAGTTTCAGTGAAACTTCAAAGTTGATGGAGTAAAACATTTTCCACTTGGAGTGGCGGAGTAATTGACCTTCTCACGTTTGTAAATTACCTTCCCTTTGGGGCTCCAGATTTTCTGCCGAGACGCTGAGCAAAAGCTCAGTGTGACGTTTGCCCGGAGACGGTCCGGAGGCGGGAGAAAGCGTGGTGGCGAGAGGACCCCTGGGGGTTCTGGGGTGGGGCGAGGGGCGTGAGTTCCCGGCTGGGAAGCTGGAGGCGGCGACCTGGGGACTCGGGAACCTGTCCCGGCAGCGTGGAGAGCGGGGGAGGGAAGGAGAGAGGAGGGTGGAGTGAGAGCGCGCGGGTGCGGGCCTCGGGCCGGGGAGAGGGAGGCGAAGGCGCGGATGCTCGGCACTCACCCGCCGGGCGCTCGGGCAGAATGGGCCGCCACCGCAGGGCTCGCTCGCTCAGCACCACGTCACAGCTGCCCCTCCCGATCTCGAAGATGCCCCGGAGCAGAATCCGCTCCGCTGCCGCCTCCGTCTGCTGCGGGGACGTTAACGGCGCGGAAGGCACAGCGGCAGCCTCCGGGGGCGCCTCTTCCTCCTGGCCGCCCTCCAGGGCACTCACCCGGCTCCTGCGCCTCCTCCATGGCATGGCGGAGCGGCAGGCTGGGCCCGAGCCAGGGGGCCGGGGAGGCCTTTGGAGGAGGAGATGTAGGGCGCCGCGGCCCAGCTCTGGCCGCGTCCTGCGCTGCCACAGCAACGGCGCGCAGGGCAGGGACCCAGGAGGGAGGCGGGGCGGGCAGGCGGGGCCGCGCCAGAGGCAGTCCAGCACCCGGCCTGCCAGCCTCTCCGCTTCGCCACTCACCACAAAAAGACCCAGCTGGAGGGAGAATAAGTGGCTCCCTCGCCCAGCTTCTCTTGTAAAGTAGGATTCCGCACTTACCGTAACCCCCAGTTCAGCCAGCGCTCCTCAAACTTTAACTTGCGTATCATCCGTTGGGCATCTTGTTCAAATGCAGATCCTTGTTAAATAGGTGTGGGGCTGGCCCCCAAATACCACAAATGTAAAAAACTACTAGGTGATGGCTCTCGCTGGCCACGTAACACACTTGCAAGGGTGGAAGCTGCCGTTTCTCCACCTCCTTTCCAGCAGGTTCCCTGGAGAGCAGAGTAGGTGCTTTACAATCCTGTTTCGGAATACTAGTGCACCTTCAAAACCCCTGAGGGGAAGCTAGAGATAAGGCCCTTGTTTGCATAGACAAATATGCATCTGACAAATTCAGTATTAAAGCTTAAGTGCCTCCAGGTGTAAGCATTTAGGGTCCTACATTCCCCCAAGGTATCTCTTCTGCAGTCTTGTGTGTGCCTGGATCTTGCACTCCCTTGAGGGAGATGGTAAGCAGAAGGGCTTCTCCTCCACGCACTGAAGTAAAGAAGTGTCACCTGGAAAAGGAGTGGAGCCCTGGGAGGTTCACCCTTTTCTCCTGACAATGGAGATTTCGAAAATCAGCTGCAGATTACTTTGGAAAATACAGAGAGTCTGGAGGCTACTGATTCTCAGTAGTGGCTGCACATTAGAATTACCTGGGGAGCTTTTGAAAACCCAGATGTCCAGGCCACACTTAAGACAATTAAGCTGGAATCTCTGGAGGTGAGACCCAGACTTCCGGATTTTTTTAAGTTCCCAGGTAATTCCAATGCTGGCTTAGCCAAGGCTGATAATGGCTGCTCTAAGCAGGGTGATAACACTGGGAGCTGAGTGCTTGTAATGGGGAAGCAGCAGGAAGAAAGTGAGTCCCTGGGAAGAAGGGCAGGGTGGGAGGTAAAACAGAAGACTAAAAAAAAAAAAACAAAAAAAAAAAAAAACAAGGCCATTATCATATAGAAAACAAGTTTGGAGTAGGGGAGTTGCAGAGGAAATTAAATTCATAGGGTTGTAGATCTAGTTCCAGCGTTCTAGTGCCTAAACAGTTCCATCACAGAGGCAGCAAACTCATCCTGTCCTCATTCCTGGTCACGCTACAAAGTCGCAGAAAAAGCCATTTATAGCAGGAGTTTCTCGAGGTTCTTAGCTCAGATGGTTTGTAGCCCTAACCAAATCCCCATCAAACATAAAGCACTGTGCATCAGTTAAGCTAGGACTCTTACTGTTTAATGCTCTAACAGTAAGTACCCAAGCTTCCAGGAAAAGCAAGGAAGAGCTTCACTTTTATCTGACTGCAGTGAGCTATTAGAGCAGAAGTGCAGCTGCTGCTAAACCCCATGCAGGCTTCAGGTGGCTGTGCTCAGCAGTCGTTAGTGGGAAAAGGATGGGGCCCTTCGCAGAATGAGTTGCAGTTCTGGAGTCAGCATCTTGTATTCACAGCTGTTAAGCAATCAACACAATTAGGGCTCACTGGCATTTTAAAAGCTCACCCAGAGCCATGGCAAAGAGGTCAAGCCAATAGCTACTCCTTAGGACCTTTGCAAACGGGCAAGTTGCCGTTTTTCAAGTTTCACTCAGGCCAGGAAGTCGAAAACAGTGGCTCTGAATTGTCCTGAAGATGGAAGTAATAAGAATTGTGTTTCTTTTCTTCAATAAGCTGTCTTATTCCAGGGCTGTAAAGGCTGGAGTGCCCTAGGCTCTGTCTTTATGATCTATCCCCACACACTATCACATGCTTTATGTAATATCCAGAGCTCTGCAAATGATGTCACCAGCTCCAACCACTCCCCTGAACTCCAGATATTATGTCCAACTGCCTCCCTGACATCTCTACTTGGCTGTCCAGTAAGCTTCTAAAACGCCTAAAATCATCATGATTTTCCAACCCAAACCTGTTCCTCTCAGAATGTTTCAAATCAGTAGTGTCATCAAAATCCTTGATATCATCCATGTCTCCTTTGTCTCATACCTTCAATCTACCAGCAAATCCTGTCCATTCCATCTAGCACATATAGTCCTTTCTGCCTGCTCTCATTCCAGTCTGCACTTCTGCACTTCTTAGCTGGACAACTTCAGGCTCTGTTCTCCCAACCCATCTCTCTGCTTTCCCTTTCCCCTATGCTGGCACCTGCAGCCCAGAGCTGATTTTCCATTTTGGAGTTACATTGTGCCTTTTAAAAGTAACGGGAGCATATAACCCTGCCCACAACCTTTCAATGACTTCCCATTATTCTTGGAATAAAGTCAAAATGCTTAGCAAGGTGAGAGGTCCTTCATATTCTGGCCCCTGGCTATGTCTCCAAGATAACCTACTAACATTTTCCTCTTGCTCACTCTCACAAAGCCTTCTTGCCAGTCCTCAAACACTCTGAGAATAGTGCCTTCTCAGAGCATTTGCTTTCGCTGTGCTCTCTGACAGGACTGCTTTTCCCCCCACCAGATGGCTCGTTCCTTTACTTTGCTCATTTTTCTCTTTAAAGACCATCACCTCAAAGAGGCAATTCTTAAGCACCCTCCATAATTCACCATCCTGAAAACCTGTGTATTCATTTCCTACTGCTGCTGTATCCAATTACTAAATCCACAAATTTAGTGGCTTGAAACAAAATAAATGTATTATTTTACATTTCTGGAGTTCAGAAATCCAAAATCAGTTTCACAGGACTAAAAGTACCAGCAGGCCTGTATCCTTCTATAGACTCTAAAAGAGAATATATCTCCTGTTTTCCAGCAGTTCCCAACATTTTTGGCACCAAGGACTGATTTTGTGGAAGACAGTTTTTCCACGAATGGAGGCAGGATTGAGGGATGGGCATTTTGAAGGCATTAGATTCTCATAAGGAGCACAGACCTAGATCCCTGCATATGCAGTTCACAGTAGGGTTCAGGCTCCTATGAGAATCTGATACTGTCACTGACCTGACAGGAGACTGGGCTCAGGTGATAATGCTTGCTTGGCCATCACTTGCCACACACCTCCGGCCTGATTGCTAACAGGCCACAGACAGGTGCTGCTCTATGCCTCAGGGATTGGGGACCCCTGTTCTAGAGGCCACCTGTGGATTTTGTTGTGTTTGTTTTGGTTCATGTTCCTTTTTTCCATCTTCAAAACCAGCAATATAACATCTGTCCTCTTTGCTTCTACCCTGAAATCTTCTCTTTCCTCTGTCTTTCACCTTTGTCCCTTCATCTTACAAGAACTCTTAGAATTACATTGGGCCTGCCCAGATAATTCTTCATTATATTTGCAAAGTCTCTTTTGCTATGTAAGGTAACATATTCACAGGTTCTGGGAATTGAAACATGAACATCTTCAGGCTGCCATTAATCTCTCTATCATAACCTGCCTTATTATTCTTTACAGCACTTATTAATTCTTATTACATACTTCTTTATTATCTAGCTTTCCCACTGAGTTAGTGCACTTAATATCAGTACTGAAATATAGAGAACACTCAGTAAATTTTAAGTTATTGTTAGAATATAAGCTTCTTCAGGGCAGAGAATTTATTTCATTCACCATTGCATTTCCAGTATCTATCACAGTTCCTAGTACACAGTAAGTGCTCAATTAATATCTGAAAGAAGTAATGAACTTCTTCGACATTTATCTGTAACAATGATACAAAGATACCCCATCTTTTTCACTTTAGTTTCTGAAGATCAGTTTTCTCATTAGTGATTCATATAGATATTATACTAATGCATGAAAATTGCTTTCAAAAAACTTCCAGAAAGCTTCCTGAACATTGCTTTCTCTCCTTTGGCTGAAGCTTGGGTATTTGATTCCAGAGCATTAAACAGTACAAGTCCTAGTTTAAAAGGCACTTTGTTGCTTTAAGTTTGGAAGGGATTTGACTAGATCTGGAAATACAGTCTCCATCCCCGGTTCTTAAAAATCCAAGTCTGAGTAGAAGACCATAAAAAACATTTCGCTATTGTTAACATTGTTTTCAGGAGGGCTTTAAGTATGTTCTGAAAACAAATATCAAAATTTTCAAAAGAAGGGCAGCAAACCCCGAGGTTAGAGGCCAATGGGACAGACTCCAGAAGTCTGGGCCACCTTCTCAGGACCACAGATGGAGCCAGAAAAATTCACAGCGGACAGAGGCATTCAGACCCACTGCAAAGAGGGCACCAGACAAGGAAGTCTAATTCCAGTCAGGACCAGCTGCCATGGGTCTGAATTTTAACCAGTGGGTAATCTTATGATAGTCCCTTTGATCTCCCTAAGTCTCTGCTGAATTAGAAGTTTGGAGTTTATGTGACAAATGATTGAGGGCTTTGGTTATAAAAATTATCATTATCATAGTTCTTTCTCAAACTCCAGTTTATATAATTTTTTTTTAGGAACTTCTCACTGCAGGTGGAATAAAATCCAAACTTCTATTATGACCTGTGTTGACCAGTTCCTGCCCACCTGCTCAAACCCTCTCTCTTCTATCATTTTTGTCCTGTTAGTATGTGTCCCACCACAGTGGCCTTCATTCTGCTCTTCAGAGAAGCCAAGTTCATTCTTATTCAGGGCCTTTGCTGCTGCTGTCTACTCTTTTCACCACGGAACAGTTTTCCCCATGGTATAGCTTCACATGGTGCTCAGGCCAACTTCATGTTACCTCAAAAGGTCTTCCCTGTCAAGCCATTCCAAAGTTAACACCTATGCAATATTATTTTCCTCATTGCACTTTATACTGTGTAAAAGTATGTAGTTGATTTATATGTTTACTTATTTCAATCTCCTCTCTCATATCAGATTGGTACCTCAATGAGTCCAGTGATTTAATCTGCTTATATGTGGCTCTACCTTTTGTGCCTAAAACAGTGCATTTATATAACACATGTTCAATAAATGTGTTA